AAAATTGAGTATACCGCCTGCAGCCATCTATCCCCAGTTTTTGAGAAATCAAGATCAAGAGTCAAAGGATCAGCGGCCAGAGAGACAAACGACATAAGTTAGTGTAGCAGTCTATTTATGCAACTATGCATAGAATGCAATTGCTGATAACTTTGTGAATACTTAGTATTCCAGCTGCTTGACGGGTCGTCCATTTAAATTATGATAGGGGAGACATTTAACTGGTATCTAATGGCGTCTATCAGTTATGAGGCAGGACGCATAGGAGCTTTTCAAGCATAACGGCAGAGAATGTATCAAGTTTTGCGAACAATTTTTCATTGCCAGAATTTTGAATTTTCACAGGCTCTCTATTATTACATTCCAAACATTTTATCAAAGACAACCTTATTCAATTTCACCACATCCTTTTGACCCTCTGTAAGTACACTCAAGCCAGCCAGAAAAAAAACCGAGTAGCGCAACCCAAGCTCGTGCAATTTTTCGTTATTATGCCTGTCCCTTTCCGGTCATTTACAGTTTGCGACATGTTTTTCGTATTTTATGGCGTCAGATGTGAGGCATGAGGCCGAGGCCCTTTTTGCCCTAGATCATAAAACAAATATTCGCTGCCAACCATGAGAGGGGACTCTTTCGGTGTCCTTTTAATTAGGTTTATACACAAGTGGGTACTTATACAATGCGTACAGAAAATCGTTCAAACTGAAGTTATTTCGCACAATCAAACCAATCTGTAATGTCAAAATGACCGCGAATCTAGAGCAAATAGGTTATTAATATATCTTCTTCTTGCTCTACCTTCCCATATTTCCGAAAATTAGCAATCAGTAAGGCAATCTTTATTTTTGATGCTGCCACGGAAAAAAGTTTTTCAGATGTCTTACGAATCAGGTCTAGAGGCTTTTCAGTCAGAGTTTTCTTCTTTTTATGATCAAATTAAGCTATCCATATTTGCTATAACGCATGATGTTACCCAAGTATTCTAGTTTTATTTTTTTAATTATGTATAAAAGCTCCAAGGGTCACCCTGTGGTACTGTATAGTGGTACGTCCACACCTCATTTGCTCTCATGCATTTACAGATCTTATTAGTCTTCAACATTTTTAAATTCGTTTCCTTATTGAAATATTGAAGTGTCTGCAACATAGACGTGGCTTGATTTTTATGAAACCTTGTCCTGTTCCATTATTGTATAGCAAAAACACATTCAGAGCTAAGGCGATTAGTATTTACTGTAATTCATTAGTATTTATTATAGAATTTGATATTTATTGACTATCTAGCCAGGATTTCAGTTTTTACTATGTAGAAGGTCAAGTGGAAATCCACTGACACTGACGGAATAATTTCTCAATACTGATGGCAGGGACCACAATAAAGCTACATCGTTAACGTGCACAGTGCTAGAGTGGAGCACAGTCAGAAAATGTATTAGTGGAGTACCAGTGGGATCATTTATAAAACGCTTTTAAATTCTAAAAGTCTATAAGTAAAACTTGAACACAAATAATCTATACTTCTTCTAAGAAATAGTACCTGGTTCAATTTCCTTGACAATCTTTATTGGATACTTTTGCTAAATACAGCTTCTCCAAGTTCTGCTAACGCGGTCTAATACACCCGTTGTATTCATTTTCAGACACAACAAGCGTGCACCACTGGCTTAAAAGGTTACATACTGCAAAGTTCCGTGTGCCATGCCAGCACGTCCATTGACATCTCTGAAATGTCATCAGAAAAAAGTAATACCAAAAATCAAGTTTTTTATCCAAAATTAGCCAAAAATCTATATTACGTATCTTCTAGTAACATGAGAGGAATAACATGCACTCGGTCCAGTAAACCCACTCTATTCACTCTTAATCGCCTTGAACATCAGTACGGTCCTGCTCTCGTAGGACTATATCGCATTTTTACTGAAGCTAGAAAGTCACTTTTTATATTGAAATCTCTCGATCATGTTTGTCTCTTATTCTAAGCCCATCATTGTCGTTGCCGGTTAATGTTTATAGGCGAGGAAACTATTTGAGCTGCCTCTTAGCATGCATGTCCGTACTATTCGTCATTGTTCTTCAGAGCGGTCCGTTGGACCTTTACTCTTAGTTTAAAGTCTCGTCTGTCAGGTCTGGCTACCAGGATTCCAAACATGTTTAAGAGGAAAAGGGAAAGAAGGAAACAAAGTAAGGGAGAAATAGAGTAAAGAAAAGTAAATAATTTGCTATAGCTTAAGCATTATACTACTCGAATAATTTTGTAACTCCAAAATAATTTTTGTTGGTCTGAAATTCACAATTTAATTTTAAAAACAGTGCGAGAAGCGGCCTGGAATGTTTGCGCACTTGATTTGTGTCGGTGTGAAACCTGGTCTTTACTGAGTACTTAGTTAAAGTCCTGTGCTACCTCATGGACTGTGAGATGTGTGTCGAGAAGGGTTGGTCAATACTGAGATGAGATATTTCAACACTTCCTCCCCGAATCATCAACAGACAGCTGGTAGCTTCGTGGAATGTACATTCGCAGGTGACAATGTCCTACCATTTATTACACAACAAAAAATATAAAAATCCGAATTGCAGTAACTGCTCAAGTCTTTTGAATCCATTAATTCATTTTGCATCTACGTTGACTTGGCTGTAGTATTTCTCAACTCTCTCTATTCCTTGCCTTAAGCTCTTCTCTCGCACGTTAGAGATTGATTTTTTTTTAATTTAGACGTATAAGTTTGATTATTTACAGTGTTACACGACAATGGCATTTTTAATTTTTACAACAGAAACAATTACATTTTGAGTTTATCCTTTTGTATTTTTTATGGAAAGCAGTAGTCATTGCTCTATTATTTGTGAGTTCTCAAAAGCATTCCTCATACATGAAATCCAGACCATCTGTTCTTTACAGATGAAATGATATACGGGGGCGTATCATACAACGACAATCTCACTGAGAAAGCCAACGAATGTAGCCTAGGTAGAAGGTCTAGGATTTTGTTTCTAATTCTGGTAGAGTGAGGATTAGAATTCAGTTGACATAAATCAATTTTTTGACAGTTCTGTCACTAAATTTGTATTTTTAGCTTTGTTTTTTAAATGTGCAAGTGTTTGCAGATAAATATGGTATTAAACAATCTCAAGACTTGGTGCTTCTTACAAAATTTGCAAAGAGCAGCACAAGCCTAATGAAGGTAAATCTTTACACCGATATCATTATTATTTTGTTACAACGGGGTCACTTTGGTAGCCATTGGTAGACAAATAAGTCAAAAGCATGCACCGAAATTAGGTAATTTTCGCGACAAAAAATGCAATGTAAACATATAGACTTGGCTCCTTCTAACACATTCGAATTTGTTGGAGAAAAGGAACGTCAGATGATAATAATAATAATAATAATAATAATAATAATAATAATAATAATAATAATAAACGGCTTTATTGGCGGAGTTTAGCACAGCTATTCTTACACTTACACTTACACTTAAAGACTAAAGCTTAATGCTAATTTGACATAAAAATATGATATTTTATATATACAGTAAACGATTAGATGTCTATGAATCTAACTAAAAAAAGAAAATAATGGTAATTGATCACAGGGCATTTATTCATTGATCCTATGCTGAATTCCTAGATGTTGTCTGAGATGCAGTTTGAAACGGATGTTATTAGTATTTGATATATCGATATTCCTGCTATAGATGTTAAAGACACTGCATTATACGTGAAAGATCTGTAAAAGAGTGATGTTAGATACATGGGCATTGTAAAATGGTTTTGATGTCTTATATTGACATTATGTATACTTGACCTAGGGAACAGCTTTTCCACTAAATATACAGGATTTCTAGAACATAATACACGATTTAATGTCGTTAGGGAAAAATATTTAAACAGATAATTGATATTAAGCCATTGTAAAAGCCTGAAACTATTAGATATGTGGTCAAATTTACGTAAGTTACAGACAAAACGGCAACGGTTATTCTGCAATCTTTGCAGGCGCATTCGAGTCAAATAGTCCAGACATGGATAAAAAACTATCAAACAATAACTGATAAATGATAGCAATAAAATTTCAGCCAGCTTTTTCCTCGTCTTGAAGTTAATAATGTACTTATTGGCATACAGTTCTCACAGTTTCAAATAACACCTCTGAGATATTGTTTTAAAGTAGGGGAGACTAGGGAGGGTTGATACGAATTTTACAGAAATGATAATAAACATTCTGTGATTAACATTTGCTAATCCATTTATGTCAGAGCTCAATTAAATGACTTCGCTTAGAAATTTGGCAAGATTAGGTTACTGAAAATAAATAGTTTAACTTTGAATATACAATTTTGAAATTCTCAATGCAAAGTGTCTCAAACCTCCCTATAAAGGGGAGGCTTGATACACTGAATGGTAGGTTTGATACAATAAGAAAGTAAATATAAAACACTAGAAGGACTGCAATCTTTTATTATTAGACCATTAACTAATCAATACATAATTCGCAAGAAAACATTTTTATATTAGGCTTGACATCTGCACAGGCTGAATGGCACCATTTTAGACATTTCTGGCAACGAACTCACTGTTCGCGAGAACGAGACGCTGAAAATAGTGAATTGCAATAGATGCAAGCGGCATCGTCATCGTCATCTGCATCAGCAAATGGATCCTTTTCGTTTTCGTCTTCAGAATCCGAGTCATCGAACACAGGTCTTTCCGTTTTTGCATTTCTATCCAAAACTTTTCTTTTGGGGTGGGTTTCGCTACTCTCGGCATTGAGTTGTTCGATGTGATTATTTTTTTCAGTTTAACTACCTATTTTTCATTTAACCTGTTGAGTTTTTATTTTCATCCGTTTCTTTTCTTCCCTCATATTATATTCGGCCTCAATTGCTTTTTTTCCGGGGTGTCGATTAAGATTCTGGTCCGGCCAGGCTTTCTGCCTCCTTTTTTCAATCGTGCAGTGCCTTGGGGTAAGGACGTTCGTCCTTGGGACTTTTCAAGAAACCAGATGTGGTGCTTTGGATAGCAGTGCTACCCTTTAAAGAAGTGTTCTTTGTATTTGAAGTTGTCTTCTGTTCAAATAATGAAGAATTCCTGATTTGGTCTATTTGTAAAATCGAGATCTTCAAATAAATGTGGGTTGAAAGGATGGATTCCAGTTGTAGAGAATCCTTTGGTTATATTTGAAGGTGTGAACGCCCTGACATAAGCTAATCTAACTAATTCCGGTACATTTTTCAATGAAACTGTTTGTCCTCGATGACTGACTATCCAGGAATCTGCCTGTTCATTATAATACCTCTTAAACGGACCAAATACCGATACATCTAGTGGCTGTAATCGTGGCTTATGTGAGGTGGTAAGGTTAATAAATGAATGCCATTTAACTTACATTTTTCTAAGGCTTTGGGTGAAATATGGCTCTCGTGATTGTCAAGGACCAATATGCATTTGTTTTCTTTCGAAAATTTTGTGTGTTTTATGAAGTGATCTAGATAATTTACGAAATTATCAGCAGTCGTCCAACCGCTTTCATGCGTCACAGAAATGGAGCCTGGAGGAGCACCTTGGATCATATAATCCTGCATTCTTACACGAGGAAATATAAAAAATGGTGGCACAGAATTTCCCAATGCACTTATAGCACAACAAGCTGTCACTAGTGTATCACGCTCTGCTGAGGTACTTTTTGAAATTTGCTTTTGGCCTTTACAAGCAATGATCTTTTGAGGTTTGTGCACAGTAGTGACTCCCGTTTCGTCTAAGTTATAGACGGATTCTGGACCAAACAGTTCCCGTTCCAATAAATTGCGCAATTTTTTGTAAAATCCTTGCACATTATGTCGATTGAACGTAGTCGCTCTGCCAAGCAAATGGCTTCAGGACTTCTCAGTGATAATTGGGGATGACGTGACATGAATCCTTTTAGCCAATCGTAGGAAGCACATTCGTTTTTTCCAGTTTTCTGGTAGTTTTTTTATTTTTTGCTCTGTCAAATTCATACGCAAACTTCTATGTTTGCTTAGGCGTAAGGCCATAGGAAAGGTTTGCAGAAGTGAGCAAATATTCCACTAAAAGCGATTCTTCATCAGATGAAAAAATTTGCGAAGTGACAAAACTTGGTGAACAGGTGGTACTTTTATCCGTCTGGTATTTTAGAACATATCGTTTCAGTGTCATTTTGTCAACATTGTACTTTCTGGCAGTAGTCCTAAGTGCTTTATTTTCATTCACTACTTCAAGCATTGCACTTTTTAAATCGTCTGGAGAATAGTTCGTCGGGCCTTTGGATTTCCATTTAAAGGCATCTACCCGTATTTCCAATATCCATGAGTCCTTTAATGAAGCAAAATCTGTTCTAATAAACAAGATTGATGAACAGTTTGATCAAGATACCTTAAGAAGGATGCCTGCGACGGATGCTTCATACGCAAACATTTTGAAAAAAAATGTGAATTTAATTGTTAAGCCAAAAAACAACGATCAGCCTCATGCAGCGACAAGACTTAAGATGCGTCAGTCTGTTGATCCGGTAATTAATAACATTAAATTTTCTCAAGTAAAAAACATAAAAAATGGGGGATTACTTATAAAGTGTGATGGATCTGAAGATGCCAGCAAATTTAAGGAGTTGGCTTCATTGCACCTTGCGGATGATTATGAAGTCAAGGAAGTGAGGAAGTTTAACCCCCGTTTGAAAATTGTAGGAATGTCTGAGTGTATTGACAAAGATCAGCTCAGTGTTATACTGAAGTCTCAGAATAGTGTATTTCAAAATGATAGTGAGTGTACTGTGTTAAAAGTGTGGCCAACTAAGAAGTCAGGTGATGTTTTTCAAGCTATTCTAGATGTTGACATTGCTACATACTCGAGTATTCTTAGTCGAGGCAATCTTATTGTTAATTTTGAAAGCTGCATTGTATATGATGCAATCAGTCTGAGGTTGTGTTTGTGGGCACAATCACTACGCTAAAAATTGTAAAAACAAAGTTCAAGTTTGTGTAAAATGCTCTTTAGATCATAAATTATCTGAGTGTAGGTCGGCCTCTTTGAAATGTATCAATTGTGTCAATGCTCGACTTCCAAATTCGAATCATGCTGCTTGGGATGCAGACAACTGCACTTTGTATATGAAGAAACTGGCAGAATATAAAAAACCTATTATTGGTGATATATAGCAACTATCTTGTAAACAGTTAGAGCCAACTTATGTGAATATTGATGATTCTGTTCCACTTAATCAGACGGATTTCTCTATATATTACCAAAATGTCAGAGGGATAAAAACTAAGCTGAACACGCTATTAAATGCTTCATATGCTAGTTCTTACGATTTGTTAGCTTTGACTGAAACTTGGATAGATGATAGTATTAATGATGCAGAGTTTATGAGTAGTGATTATTGTGTATTTAGATCAGATAGAAAATATGTACAAACTGGCCAAACTAGGGGAGGTGGTGTTTTATTAGCAATTAGTAAGGTATATGAGGCACATGAAGTAACCATTGCATCTTAATTTTTAGAAATTGATATTGTTGGGATTAAGATTCAGCTTGCTCGTTATCCTCGCTTATATTCCTCCTAATATGCACCTAGATGCTTTTGAATCTTTTGTTGATAACATTTTGGCGATTGATTTTTTTGGTCCAAATGATTTTGTTATTTTTCTTGGGGATTTCAACATTCCCAGTTACGTGAATAAAATGTGGGATGATTCTTACAATGATAACTACTTATATGCTATCTCTAGTATGAGCAGTTTCTTTAATTTAGCCTAATAAAATCGTATTCGTAACGAATATGATCGTATACTGGACTTAGTCTTCTGTAATAATTATGTTCATGTGAGAAATGCATCTGAAATTCTTTTACCAGTTGATAGGCACCGTCCTCCGATAGAAGCGCTCTTTCCACTTCCGCGTTCTCTGAATAACGTACGCCCAAATAATAATAATCCGCAATATAACTTTAGGAAAGCAGATCTTCCTGCACTCTACACCACTGTTATGGATTCAGATTTCTCTTTTCCATCGGACATCCTCGACATTAATATTGCTTGTGACCTGTTTTATAGTAAATTGTATAACGATTTCGATAGGCACGTTCCATGCACGTTACCAAAGGATAACAGATACCCTCCCTGGTTTTCTCGTGCAATAATCTTTAAAATATCAAAAAAACATCGCCTCTGGAAGCGATACAAGAGTACTTTGGTTAGATCTGACTATGAAGCTTTCAGTAACCTGCGAAGAATCATCAAAATTGATATAGACTTGGCGTTTTCTAATTTTGTTGCGAGGACTGAGCGTGCCCTTGCGCAAAACCCCAATCAATTTTGGTCCTTTGTTAACTTGCGCAGCAACAGATCAGGCATACCCAACAATATGTCTTTGGAAAATGAGGAGTTCAAGAATCCACAGGAAATTGTTGATACTTTTGCCAAGTATTTCCAGTCCACCTACATCACGTCTTCTCAACCATCTGCTGATTGTTCCGTTACAGAAAATATATCGTGTCTTCCTATAGTGACTATTAATGTAGAGCATGTACGGAATGCAATGAAACGATTAAAGCCTAAATGTTCCACTGGCTTGGATTCCATACCTTCATTTTTTCTAAAAGACTGTGCGTGTGTTCTTGCTGAGCCTTTGACATATCTTTTCAATTTGTCCTTGAAATCTGCCACCTTTCCTAGAAAATGGAAATTGTCTAAAATAACACCTGTTTTTAAGAAAGGCGATCGATCGCAGGTAGAGAATTACAGGGCTATTGTTATTTTAAGTAATATTGCCAAAATTTTTGTTTGTTTGTTCTTTTTGATATTTTGTTCTCTCATGTAAGTCGGTCAATATCGACGAGTCAACAAGGTTTCTATAAGGGTAGATCTACGTGTAGTAATTTGGCATGTTTTAAGCAGTACTCCGCATCAGTTCTAGTTAATGGCGGGCAAGTTGATGTAGTCTATACTGACTTTTCGAAAGCTTTCGACCGTTTGGATCACGGTGTTCTATTGCAGAAGTTGTCTAAGTACGGCTTAACATCTAGATTCTTAGCTTTCTTTCATTCATACATCAGTGATAGACAATTATGTGTGGTCTTCCGTGGATATAAGTCTGGTGCGGTTTTAGCTACATCAGGGGTGCCTCAAGGTTCTGTTCTGGGTCCCCTATTATTTTTAATTTTTATAAATGATGTTATAACACACTTGCGTTGTGAGTACTTGCTATATGCCGATGACCTCAAAATTTTTAATAGCGTTTGTTGCTCAGAAGACAGTTTAAAGTTACAAGCTGATTTGAATGTCATTGATCACTGGTGTAAAGTAAATAACATGCACTTGAATGTCAATAAATGTTCTACTATGACGATTACACGTAGGGTGGAACCAAGATGTTTTAATTTTGAAATCGGTAGCAATGTTCTTTGTCGTGTTAATATCGTCAAGGATTTGGGACTATTATTCGATCAAAAGCTTTCTTTTATTGATCACATTAATGCAATAATAGCAAAAGCATTTAAAAATCTAGGATTTGTTATAAGAGACAGTAGACATTTCAATAATAATAATACATTAATTTTACTTTTTAATGCTTTTGTCAGATCTATTTTAGAATACTGTTCGATTATCTGGTACCCGGCCTATGATATACACTGTAGAAACATCGAGAGAATCCAACGTCGTTTTGTGAAATACTTATGGTTTAAAGATGATAGAGCGTACCCTGAAAGAGGTATATGCAATGACATTCTCTTAAGTAGGTATAATTTATCTAATTTAGTCAAATGTAGGAATCTGTTAGCTGCTAAATTTTTATGTAATTTGTTGAATGGAACAATTGATTGCCCTTTTCTTTTAGACAGGATCTCTCTACGCGTTCCCGATTTGCGTACTCGTCATGGTGGTAACAATTCATTTTATTTACCTGTTCTGCGGACAAATTTATTGTTATTTTCTCCTCTTTATGTTATGTGTAATGTCTGTGACAGTGTAAGTGAACTTGATACGTTTAGTACCTCCAAAATCAATCTCAAGAGTTTATTTTTAACAATTGGATAATTTATGTTTATGTTTATACTGCTTACATTTTTGTTTTTGTATCACTTTTTGTTTTTTCCCTGCCTGTTAATTGGATCACTCTGTTCAGGCAGTGTATGGATTATAAATAAATAAATAAATAAATAACAATATACTCAACTAGCCTATGTAATTGTCAGGAAAACCACATAAATAGTGAAAAATTATATGAAAAAATAAATACAGTTCATACAGGGAGGTTTGATACACGTATCAACCCACCCGACACAAAAAGTATCAAACCTCCCGGGATGATAATTTTATGAAGTATATACCTAACATAAAGGTATTATACAACAGTTGATTAAAAGATCGATATTGGTGCCCTAATATTGTAAATCAAATGCGCTTGAGGCATAATGCGTAAGATTTTTCTTAATTTTCCTATCAAACAGCTAAAGCCTTACGTTTGATATGAGACAACCTACATCGAATAGGTATAAAACACACTATAACCTCA